TGTATTTCTCTGAAGTATATGCACATTAAAACTAGTGTATTTATTGTTATGAAATGGACTTTACTCTAAATTTTTAATTTACAATGTAGGACTCAAAATATTTTTCTGCTCTCTTCTCCTTCTTCTATCTGGAGATGTTGAGCTTAATCCTGGTCCAGTAATTGATGAGCAACCTAATATTTTTGTGTTGCTTGATCTGCTGGAGCCACTTAAAAACTGGCAGTTGTTTGGTCGTCATTTGCCTGGAGTGACACAACAAATTATTGACATGATTCAACAGTCTGAAAGGAGCCCAAAGTATCAAAAGGTAGTTCTCATTAAAAAATGGTTTGAAGAAAATCCTAAGGCAACATGGAAGGATGTGCTTGCTGCTTTAAAAAGAAGAAAAGAGATTCAAGTCATTCAAGATATTGAAAAACACCTGTCAAGTACATGTATTTGTAAGTTTAAAATGTACAGCAGAATAATCACAGCATATTAACTCTATTGCAGGTGACCATTTGGAGCCAAAGGACTTTCGTGGTCAAATTGCTCCTAAGGAAATGTTACGTTTATATTCAGACAAACTTACTGCTGCTATTGCTGATAACCTTCACACAATTAGCAGTGCACTATATGCTAATCAGCTAATGTCATTGAACGTTAAATCTCGTATGTCATCATTAACTGGAAATTCCGATTATGAAAAGGCCAGCTACTTAGTGACTACATTACTGAGACAATTGGAAGCATCTTTACATCCTCAAAGGGATTTGATTAGTATTTGCCATATATTAATAAAACAAAAGCATCAAGCACTTAAAGATATTGCTGCATCTATTTTGGATCAATTAGGTAAGTACATGTGTCCCACTTTATTTCATTATACATGTACATGTACATGTAGGTCAGCCATATCATGCAGTCATTAGTTCAGATCCACCTGATGATGTACAAGAGTACATAAAGAGTCTCAAAAAAAGGTATCTAAATCAGTCCATTATTGCTAGTGACTGGCCACCAAGAGTAGGAAATGATTTTTTTGGCAGACTAACACTTGTAAGGGAAAATGAGTTAACTTCACAAGCAGAACATGAAAGATATTCATGGTGCATGTAAG